TTTTCTCACTTTCACCCTTCCAATTCTCTCCCCCATCCCACCCCAGGGGGAAGGGTGAGCAAGCAGCTGTGTGGTGCTTAGTTACTGGCTCTGGGGTTAAATCATGACAGCTTCCTAAACCCACTTGGCTCCCAAATCACCACTGGCAGAGTGATATTAACAGATTGATTTAATAATAATAATGATAATAGTTTGTTGTTTCAGGCGTGGAGGAGGGATCTGATATATATAACGTGTTTGAAAAACAAAGGGATCCCTCCCAACATACACATCTCATTCTGAGCTTGCAAAGTGTCTAGGAAGGGAAAATTCAGAGACTTCTCCTTTACCAACCTGTGGAAGGGTCCTTCAGAGTATAGTGTATTCACTCACTAGACTATGCACATCAATACCAGCAACATTGGCATAGAGTTCAGGCACCACTAGCTCAGGAACCTGCAGTACTGCTTGGTCATTGCTGGTCTTTTTAGCTGTTTGTAGGGACTGGATCAGGTCTGCTGGAGAAGGCCGGTTAGCTGCATTCCACTGCCAGCAGGACTTCATGATGGCATACCTGTAAGAAGGAGAAGTAAAGTAAGGAGGCGCTGGGAATGAAAAATACCAACATAAAGTTTTACTACAGTCAAGTCATCTCATATTTAAAATGTCTAGAGACCTCTTTTTCTGCTTCATATAATGTTATTTCAATGACCCTTTGAAATTTGCAGCCACATAATAATGTGTGAGGACAAAGGCATGCAGTTGTTTGCAAGGATATCAACAATGAGTATGGGAAAAGGGAAAAAGATTGTTTGGTATTCCCTTTTGAAACAGCAACTGAGATTCCTTATGGGAGAAAAAGCCTCTGCATACTAAAAGAAATTACGTCTTCACTAGAGTAAATATAATGCCTTAGATTTTCCCTGTGGATGTTTTGTTCATTTCAGGGAGAATCCCACAACTCAGAGGAGAAAGATTACTCCAGAATAGTTCTGCACCTTGCAGGGAAGCAGTGGAGCAACAAAATGCAAGGGCAGACATGAAAACAGACACAAGAGCAATTTTCAAAAGCAGGAAAGAGAGGTTTTGGCAATCAAGGTTTCATGCAGCAGAATGCAGTAAGGAGATTTGGCAGACGTGAGAACAAGTCTCCTCAGCTAACAGGTTACTGTTTCGTATAGTCTAGACTTGGAGATCTTCTTTAAGATCTAGTTTTGTATATCTCACTTCCATTTAGCTGTGCAGACCTCAAGTTCAATTGTCCATAAAGCAAGTGGCTTACATGGCTTGCTGGCAGCTTGAGGGCTGCTTCATAATGTTCCGTCTCTGCAGGTACGATAAGATGTCAGAAGGTGGCACCTCAGGATATGGTGGAGCACCTGGAAGGGCAAAAGGAATTAAGGTAATTGTTGCAGATAGCAGCTTCTGTACAAGAATGCCTGCCTTCCCTACCAAAATCCATTTTTTTCCTGCCACAACTCACACTGACAGAAAGTCTAAAAGGAATTGTCAAGAATTTGCAAGTTGGAAAAAACAGGATGCTTATCTAAATGGTCCAACTTTACATTCTGAAATTTGAGATTTTGGGCCTTGTTAATTTGCTGCTTCCTTACATAGTTTTTTTTTATGATTAAATCTTCTTACCTAGTGTAATCATTTCATACAGCAGAATTCCAAAAGACCATCTGCAAGAAAAGAAAACAAAGCAATATTAAGTTTCCATTCTAGCTAGCTAGCTTAAATACATACAAATGACTAGGCATGACCTGCAGAAATGAAAAGAGAAGGTATGAGCTATAAAGTGGAGCATTGTGCTGAGAACAGATACGCCTTACTGTGAAATTAGAATCATAGAATCATAGAATCATTTAGGTTGGAAAAGACCTTTAAGATCATCCAGTCCAACCATTAACCTACACTACCAAGTCCACACTAAACCAATCAAGGGTAGACTACACTAAACCATGTCCCAAAGTGCCACATCTACCCATTTTTTGAACACTTCCAGGGATAGTGACTCCATCACCTCTCTGGGCAGCCTCTTCCAATGCTTGACTACCCTTTCCGTGAAGAAATTTTTCCTAATATCCAGCCTAAACCTCCGCTGGCGCAGCTTGAGCCCATTACCTCTCGTCCTATTGGTAACTACATGGGAGAAGAGACCAACACCCACCTCACTACAACCTCCTTTCAGGTAGTTGTAGAGAGCAATAAGGTCTCCCCTCAGCCTCCTCTTCTCCAGGCTAAACAATCCCAGTTCCCTCAGCCCCTCCTCATAAGGCCTGTGCTCCAGACCCTTCACCAGCTTTGTTGCCCTTCTCTGGACATGCTCCAGCACCTCAATGTCTTTCTTGTACTTAAGGGCCCAAAACTGGACACAGTATTCCAGGTGCGGCCTCACCAGTGCTGAGTACAGGGGAACAATCACCTCCCTGCTCCTGCTGGCCACACTATTCCTGATCCAAGCCAGGATGCTGTTGGCCTTCTTGGCCACCTGGGCACACTGCTGGCTCATGTTCAGCTGGCTGTCGACCAACACCCCCAGGTCCTTTTTGGCCAGGCAGCTTTCCAGCCACTCTTCCCAAGCCTGTAGCATTGCATGGGGTTGTTGGGACCCAACTTCAGAACATGACATGATACATAAAGGAGTGAAAGAGACAGGCCTGACGCCTGACAGACAGATGAACTTCTAGTCCAAAAATTAAATCATACATGTCTGCCTTGATGGTGGGGGGTTTCTTTAGGAGCTGCTCTGGAGCCTGCCACTTGACTGGCACAATCTGTGTGACTGAGTTGGCACCATATGTGTGAGTTTCATAGGCCAGACCCAAACCACAGAGCTTAGCAGTGAAGTTGTGATGGAGGAGGACATTCCTGGCAGCAATGTCACCATGGAACAACTTCTTCTGTTCAAGGTAAGCCTGGGAAGTTGGAAAAGAAAGAGACCATGATCATTGTAAAGGGAATTTGAATTGATATAAATTAGTTATGCCTGTCTTCCACGCTGTGGAATAGAGGTGTATGCTCACCAAAATAATGCAAGTGTATTTGGCCCAGTTTTAACAAAGCACATCTTCAGTGCTTAGGCCAAGAAGACTTAGGCCATCATGCAGACTTGTGTTGCAATCAAGCAAGAAAGGAAAAATGCAGCGAATGTGAGCAGACTTACCAGAGCTGCTGCAACTTGCTGTCCAATTTCATATACTTGCCTCTCAGTGAGGTCATAGGGGACACCATCCATTGTCATTACATCCTAGAAACAAAAGAGCAGACCTTGGATCAAATAAATGCCTTAGCTGTAGGGTACTGGGGAATGTTTCCTTCTAATCTAATAAAATGAGTGCTATTTAATCTTATGCTTGTCATGGTTTAGCCCCAGCCAACAACTAAGCACCACGC